GGGGGGGCAGGGCAGCATCAGTCTCCCTCTCTCTAGGCCTGTACACCCGCTGTCCAGAGCATGTTTCCCTGGAGGGTCCCATTACTGCTTCCAAGTCTGCATGGTCATTCATTAAACATCTGTAAGGCTCATGCTAAGTGTCAGTTACTGTGCACTGGACCACATGGACTGAGACCTTGCGCTCAAGGAACTGCTCTCAAAACCCCGCCGCAGCCCACCACTGAGGGGTCCCCCTCTTCAGAGCTCTGGGCCTGGAAATGTGAGGCCTCGCCTCTGCCATTCCTTTTCCAGATTCCAAGCACCTGCCTTTGTTTCTTTTCTGAAAATGTCATGCAATCTTGTGCTTTAATCCCTGCTACCGCATCTGGGAGTGGTGCTTATCCCTGCCAAGGAAGACTTTTGGTGCTTGTCATCCCACTATCTCCCTGCTTCCCTTCTTCCTAGTTTATCTTCCACTCCCCAAACCATTTACCTCACTGATGTCAAAGGGTTAGCACTCCCCTCTTGGTCTCCCTCTCTCTCTTTCTCTCTCTCTCTCTCTCTCTCTCTCTCTCTCACACACACACACACACACACACACACACACACTGATGAGGAACACCGTTGTATGACACGCGGAATCCCCATGCCTCTGCTTGGCTTTCAAAGCCCTACACGTCCCCCGATGCTTGTCTTCTGCTTCCGTCAGAGGACCTTCCTCACTGGTCCATCCTGCCCTCCCGCTGCACCTCTACCCTTTGCTCACTGCATTGCAACCTCCTCCTGAAATGCCCGCCCCTCCTGTCTGCCTCTGCAACGCCCCCTCCCTCCAGGCACAGATTAAGTCCCATCTCCTGGACAAAGCTTTCTCACCAGTTCACTCCTCTGTCCACACCTGTTCAGCTCACTGAATTTAGTGTAAAAAGGATATCAGTTAGCCCTTTGTTTCCTCCACTAACTGAAAACTCTCTACCAACCTTCTCTGTATTCCGAGTCTGCTCCAGGACCTTATACACAAGTGCACCAAGCAAAGGAACAAGGTACTGAGTGATAGATTAATTCAGGGAAGCCCAGAAACTCCAATCCCCAATCTGAAATTCACTATAAGAAAGTACCCAAAGTATATGGCCAAAAAATAGTTTGACTACAAAATTGAGAATTTCTATCTAATGAATGATGCTTGAGACAAAATCAGTAGACAGATGATAGATTTGCTGAGAATATTCATGACAGCCGAAAGTCACGAAGGATAAGTATCTTATAAGTTTAAGATACTTATATCTTTAAGATAAGTATCTTAAACTTATTCAAGTCAACAAAAAACTAATAATTAGTATTATCTTAATACAATTTTAATAATTCACTTATGTTTTTTATGTATCTTTGTATTTATAATATTAATACATTACTTGTAGTAGTAAGTATAATATACATATTATGTAATAATATACAGTATTATTATATATTATAGTATTATAGTATATTATTATATAATATATAGTATATAATAACTAACATTTATTGCATGTCTGTTATTTACCAGACACTCACCTAAGTGTTCTGTAAGTATTAATC